CGTGAATGTGGCCCACGAGACGAAAAAGGTTGAGCAGGCCTGATATAGATTTTCTTCAGTGTTAGCTTACACATGTTTCAGAAGTATATAACTTTTCTCTGGTATGAATTTTGATGATTATTAAATTTCATGAAGCGGTAAGCCACAAGATTGAATAATTCGTAGAAGCATATGAAAAGTCCAGACTGGCGAAAAACAACACCCATGTGAAATATGTGGAAATAGTTTTGTGACATAGAATACTTTGGAAAAGCATATAAGATTCACACTGACGTCTTGTGATATATTTGGAGGTTGTTGTCACTTGTCAGTGCATTTTCGAATCACTTGTTCATGGATGTGATTGGTTTAAAACTCTGTAAATTTTCAGATGTATTGGGAACCCAAATTTATTATGGTGCTCTACCAGTGGCGGCGCGTGGTCATTTTGACAACCGGGGCAAGCTACTGCGGGACCAAGTCACCCCCATCTACGGGGACAGGGTGAGCGCTGTAAGTTCTCCCATCATTTTATGAGTATAAAAACCATTCCATCGGTAACAACCAATCGGCAAAAGCGACAATTTTTAACGATAAGAAAGTGTCTTTAAAACCGGTCCAAGTCAAGGGATTAATAAAAATAGACATAGTTAATTTTGAAACCTCTTTCAAAAGGAAAGGCAATATTTACCCAGATAAATACAATGACATATTAACAGAAACTTCGGGAAAGCAGACAAAACCTAAAATAAGGTCCAAAACGTTACTATGAAGAAAGGAAAGGTAATGCAAAGATAAGGACATGCGTCGCTCACTCATAGATATATATGCTGCTAGACTTCTACTGCTTGAACATATATGCAACACGCCGCGGTTTCTTGGAAGAAAAATGCTCAATAACGCGCTGATTAAAGTCATGCATCCCAGAAATAACGTCTCTGTGAATGGATAAAACAGCCAAGGAATTTAATCTATCTTGCTTCATTGTGTTTCTGAGATACGTTTTAATACGCTTCAGCGTGCTGAATGTTCGCTCTGCGTCGGCGGATGAAATAGGCGTCGTCAAAATGATGTCCAGAAATTTTGCAGACCCCGCAAAGGTAGTTACTAGAGTGTTATCTATGAGGAACCCATAGTGCGCGCAAGTTGATGTGATGTTCAAAAAAGTTTGATTGGTGTATATACATCGCAATTCATTTTCCAATTTACCCACGTTTATCATGGGGTAAAATTTGGAGACAGTAGCCAACAAATGGATGGGAAATTGACGTGCAAATTTTGAAAAATTTTTGGGGTTCATCAAAGAGAACGCGGCAAGGTGTTCAGCGCCTATTTGATTCACCAGAATGTCACAGCATTCCTTTGCAGACAAAATCAAACGCTGCGTTGTTTGCCCGCGGCGTAAAGAAGCACTCCATGTGTCGTCGTATTTTATTGTTTCCCGGATACGAGATACAGCATCGCAGAAGTCTGAAATACACGACTGCACAGACGCTCCATCCATTAGCCTTGACTGCAATGCGCCGTATAATACATCCACGTGATAGAATATTGTGGAGAAAAAATGAAAACTCACCATCGTCTAGCAGACGCTTTAGACCTGCCGCCTCCCTCACAGAGCGTTCGTCCCAAACCGGAGAGCTCTGAATGCCATTGAAACGGTTCCATTACATTTGAACCCACGTACATTTGAACCCATGACAATTGCACCTGCATACTATTGCACCTATGGAAATTTTGTTGTTGTACGGATAGTTGAACCCATACTAACCCTAATCCATGGGTTTCAGCACCAGCATATTGAGTGAACCCGTGGATATAGACATGGGTTCAAATGTATGTATGTATGTATGTATGTTTATTCGTCTCGTAAAAGCAATATAAAAGAGTAAGTAATTATAAATACTGAAGACGGGATGTATGCACAAGACCATATTGGCCTAAAACGCAAATGTGCGGCATACGCCCCTTTTGATATATATAAATTATAATAGGGTAAATTAAATATGTACAATATGGTCTCTTATACAGGCAGTTGTGCAAGGAGGGTGGGTGGATGCGGTAACAGGAATAAGGGTGGAGTGTACAAAACAGTTTGTACAAAGGAGTTTGTTAGACAAAACAACATCTATAAATAGAGACACTACACAACATGAAACAAATGTACGTGGGTTCAAATGTACGGTCACCCATTAAAACACTCAATGAGCTCAGACCTAATTTCGGACACGCCCTGCACTACGCGTGATTGGAAGTTCCAACGTGTTGGTGCACAAGCTGGGAGACGGCGGCTACATATCTGGCGAAGGAGGTCAGAGCGCTACGGCGAAACGGAAAAAAATGAAGAAAACCCCGAAACATTTGCAAAAAATATACGGACGAGAGGGGTATCAAGACACATATTTTTAATAACGAGGTTAAATTGGTGTGCATAACAATGTAAAAAATGCGCATGAGGAAAATCTTCTTTTATATAAACTTGAACACTATGTTTCGACCCACTCATGACTGCCGCGCCGTCATAAGTTTGAGCTATCAATTTTGACTTCGCGTTGTAAGGCTGTAACACTTCTTTCAGTACAGCCGATATCCCGCAAGTCGTGCGATCAACGATTGGTACAAAGCTGTGAAATCTCTCGGTAGGTTTACCATCTTTCACAAACCGAAAAATCACAGCCAGTTGGGAAACGCACGTGATGTCAGTTGTCTCGTCAGACTGAATCGAAAGGAACTGGCAATTCTAAATTTCCAGAGCCAAATGTTGTAAATAAATTTTATACATTGAGTCGAGCAAATCATTTTGGATATCCTTAGATGTCCCTTTCGAAACAGTTGCGGCATCAAGATGATCTCTCAATACTGTATCTAGGGATGCGATGTATTCCACCATATCCAAAAATACCCCTCTATTAGAAGAGCCAGCCCGTTCATCGTGCCCACGGAGGGACAGCTCGTGACAACCAATGAACTTCAAAACATCTATCAATCGACCGAGAACATGGCGGTTTTTCTCGACGTTTTGGTTGTGCCGACGAATAGAAACCGCGCGTCCCCCATCCAACTGTGCTGCAATATTAACATTTCCAAATGTTCGGTATTTTACTGCATTGTCCAGATGCTCCATAGAAGATTGATGATCCCTGGCACGCTCGGAAAGATGTTTAAGATCTCTAAAACCAAATTTACACCAACGTGAGTCACGGGCGGTAGCAAAAAGTAGGCAATAAAAACAAAAAAGTGCATTTTTGTCCTCGCTGTAACACAACCATTCGTGTTTTTTATACCAAGTTTCTGCGCAGAATGTACGCCGACGCTTTCCTCCGTCATGGGATTGTTCCAGTGAACAATTTTTTGGTTGATAAGGCCCAAGACGTTGTACCTCTAATTTTTGTTCCAGCGGCAGCTGCGAAAACGGAGTGCGAAGTAGTGCATCAACCTTATTCATTATGAGGTCTAAGGCTAAGAAATGCAAAGCCGAAAAGTGAGGAGCTCAAAAGGAATGTGGAAAATCGAAAGCAAATGGACTAAAGGTCTCTAACTGATTCAAATAGCGAAACAAGCGACAAAAAGGAAGGCGAGGAAACTATCAACTCTTCAAGCAACCAACGAACGAGAAGGAATGCGTGAATATGTCAACACGTTGTTGTAAGAAACGTCGGCATTGTGTCGTCATAATTTCGGGGCTAGCCCCGATGATTTAGTAAAAGAAACAGAAAACAAACGAGACAAACGCGGCGAGTGGAAGATAAAAGAGAGAATACGATATACAATGAGCAACCGGGGCAAAATCGGCGTCGACGTTCGGCGAAGGCTTTGCGAGCGAAAAATGAACCATGTCGGGAGAATATGGCTAGTGTAGACAGTCTGTGCAACCGATATTGAGGTTATTTTCGAATATTTTTTATTATACCGAAAAGACAACCGGGGCATTGCCCCGGTTGGCCCTATTGACGCGCCGCCACTGTGCTCTACCATATATTCCAGCCATTCTGAAATTTCGCTGTCCACTTTAAATTGCACTATATATTTATGCATCGCACATCTTGGAAGTTGATTTTAGTGTGTAGTGTGGGTGAAGGTTATTGGAAGGAATTGAGTATTCAAAATCGTATTAGATGTCAAAAGTAAGCTGGTGTGTTTTCGGAAGTTTGGTTTTTTATTGATATTGGATTGGAAGTTGATGTCGCAGTTTTAAATTCCACGTACTGTAAGTCCAACCAAAGTAGAAGTCTTGACTTCATTGGAGTTTTATGCACCTAATGGCGGTGATCGAAGTCAAGATTTCCAACTGAAACCTAAAAAGCCATGACCATTGAGGAATGTCTGCATATGCCCAAATTTTTGTTGTTCACTTTCACAGAAGTTCGATTACCCTGGAGTTTATGGTTTTACATATTTATCCCTTAATCATATAACGAACCACGGCCTCTCGTTTGGTTACAAGTCGACTTTCTATATGGAACAAGTTAGCTGCGGCTCTTCTGGCCGAGCGACAAATTATTTCACATTCATTTATTATTTTTGTAAACTATGGTTGACAAAGATTGGTTAAATTCCACACCAAGTATAATATACTTGAAGTCTCCGCTGATTGTTCAATGTTATTATACTCTATGACTAGCCTGCTTTCCTATTCATATTGAACTAAATTGCAATGGTATTCAGGTGATGAATTGTAATGAATTATGGACAACTGCTTATGTCCAAGCACAAATGTATAGAATAATAATAAACTATAGTTGAAATTAGTTCAGTGCGATGTAGTGAATACTTGGTTAATTTTATTTAATAAGCAGAATATGGCAATTGGGTTACTCCTGATGGTCAGACATTGCAGAGTGAAAATTGATCAAACCATTTTGTCGATATTCAACACAATGAATTGTAATATTGATGATGATTTATAGTAATTAATAGCTAAGCGAAGTACTAGAAGGCCAACTTGGAGGTCAACAACATCAGTCCACCGGTACCGGTACCCAATCTTCTGGCAACCAAGCTTGACGCCCTGGAAGACAAATCTAGCTGCATATTAAATAAACTTGAAAGTTTAGCCAAAATAGTTAAACAAATTAAAGAAAGGGCCACAAAAAACGAAATTGCAATCGATAATTTAGAACAATATGGGAGGAACTGTATCTTACTGCATGGCTGCAAACGAATACCGAAAGCAGGTCATTATGGACAATTTGAAACATATGTGGCTAATACGCTAAACTCGGCCTTGAAATTAGAATGGCCTATACAATATGGAGATATAGACGTTACACATATTCTCCCAGCTGATGGCAAAGGAAACGTTCCTATAATAGTTAAATTTGTACGTCGCAGCACCAAAAATATGATTTACTCCATGAAAAGAAGACTTAAAAAGACTGAACTATCAATTACCGAATCGCTGACAAAACGTCGAGTCGAACTTCTCACCGAAGCAAGAAGAGTTCTCGGACTTAAGAATGTTTGGACTATGAATGGAGACATATATGGATTTCATAACGGTAAGAAAATAATTATTAGAACCACATCAGATATTATAATATAAGTAAGATATCGTAAGACTACAGACTATGAATTATTGATATGCTAGAACAGCCCAAATTCTCATTGTAAGCACTAAACACAAGAGCAACTTTTGTTTATTTACTTTTGTTTATCTTTTTTGCCCATATGAATGTTAATAAGAGAGATTTACCATGTCATGGATGCCAAAAATCTGTAAACAATAGGGAAAAGGGGATCTACTGTGATAAATGTAATCGTTGGATTCATCTAAAATGTAGTGGTTTAAATTTACAAGAGATTCGTAAACTATGTAATGAACCAAATGATATACCTTGGTACTGTAGACTTTGCCTACAAAATAGCCTGCCATTCAGCTCGTTATCTAGTACAGAAGTAAATGACCTATGCCTGAATAATGACCCTTCCTCGACTCTGACCCCAGAAATTCTTAACGAATTTTTTACTGAGGCTTCGTTACTGAATATTGATAATGATGAAATAAGCGATTCCACAAAAATTTGTATGTCTGATTGTCAATATCTTTCTGCCGCTAATTTAGATATCCTATGCAGTGATAACTTGAACCCACTTGTCACAATGTGTATTAATATGCGTTCCTTGGCCAACCCAGGAAACTTTTCAAAACTTGAAGCTCTTATAGCCTCAATGACAGTCTGCCCAGATTTAATAGCAGTCAATGAAACATGGCTAAAACAAAATCAGATAGGATCCCACATGAACCTGGGTGACTATACTTTTTTATCAAATCCTCGAGTGACTTCGAAAGGTGGGTGTGTTGGCCTATACATCAAAAAAAATATTACTTTCAAGGCTAGACCTGACATTTCAATTATGAATGAGCGAATTTTTGAATCCACTTTCGTAGACATTTATTCGAAGGATAGAATTGTGACGTGTGGAACAATTTACAGATCTCCCTTATCAGATAGTCAAAGCAATAATCAATTTATTAGTATTCTGGAATCGACACTCCAAACCTTATCGAAAAATTGTATTATCATGGAAGACCTCAATTATAATCTTCTGGAAACAAACAAGACTGTAGATGAATTTTGTGAGCTGATGAATTCGGCTTCATTTTACCCTGTGGTGTCAAAGCCAACTCGAATCACTCAAAGCAGCTCTACAATCATTGACCATATTTGGACAAACATCTTTGATTGTAAACCCCGCAGTGCAATAATAGTGGATCCTATTTCAGACCACCTGCCAGTCCTGGTTTGCATTCCATTAAGAAAAAAACTTCGCAAGGCAGAAAACGAATACTTTAGGCAATATAATATCTCAAATTTAGATAATTTTAAACTCATGTTAGAACAAAGTGACTTTTCTGCTGTGTTCAGCAAAACAGATCCTGATATATATTTTTCTGAATCTTCTAAAACTTGCTTTCCTCTGAAGAAAAGAAATATTAAAAATATTAATAAATGGTTTGACAAGGAACTCTTAAAAATGCAGAAAAAAAGCATAAACTATACAAAAACTATCTTACTGAAAAATCAGAGCAGACCAAATTTAAATATTCAGAATGCAAGAAAAAATATGAGAAATTGATAACTGCTAAGAAACAAAATTATTACAAGTCATTACTAGGTAGACATCGTAATGATCTTAAGAAAACTTGGCGTACTATGAACGATCTGCTTGGGCGTTCTAAACCAAATCTAACAAAAGTATTTTCTATTAACGGCCAGGAAACCTCGGATTCTGTCGAAATAGCAGATCATTTTAACTAGCACTTTTCTACAATTGGAAATAAAATGGTCGAACGGTTTACTCATACTAGAAGGGATGACTTTAAGCAATATATGGGGCATCCCAGTAAAACCTCTATGTTTCTTGCCCCGACAACAGCTTTCGAAGTCCAAAATATTCTGAAATCTTTTCGACCCAAAACCAGATGGAATTCCCTTTAAAGTTATACGAATGATGCCCTGGAATTGTATTTGTGCTCTCGCACATATCTTTAACTGCTCATTACAATCTGGTAAATACATAGACCAGTTCTAATTATCCAAAGTTATGCCATTGTTCAAAAAAGGAAATGCAAAAGATGTAAAAAACTACCGACCGATCAGCTTACTTCACGCATTTTCAAAAATTCTAGAAAAAATTAGGTACAAACGACTCAACCATTTCCTAGACCAAAAAAATTTCTTTCATTCACAACAATTTGGCTTTCGTCAAAATCATTCAACATCTCATGCAACATCCCTGCTTGTCAGTAAAATTCTAGAAGGATTTGATAAGAATGAGTATACTCTCAGTATGTTCTTGGACCTTTCCAAGGCATTTGATAGTATTGACCATGACATATTACTAGCCAAATTGCACCATATTGGCGTTAGAGGTCAGAGTTATAATTGGTTTAAAAGCTACTTATCAGGAAGGAAACAAGTAGTTATATACAATGATGTAACATCTAGCACATACTGTAATTTGACTGTAGGTACTTTACAAGGTTCTATTTTGGCTCCATTATGTTTTTCAATCATTATTAACGACTTTCCGAATTCTCTTCTTCACTCTGATATCATACTTTTTGCTGATGACTCAACGCCATATCTTCGAGGCAAAAACTTGCCTGAACTTTTGACCAAAGCAAATACCGACTTAGAAAATAGCAAGCTTGGTTGTCTGCGAACAAACTCACTATTAATGTCGATAAAACTAAATATATGATATTTAGCACGCCGAAGCAAAAGTGTCCAACTCTGCAACCAAATTTGGAATTAAATGGAATAAATATAGAAAGAGTTAATCAGACTCGCTTTCTGGGTGTAATGATCGATGATAAATTGTCTTGGAAACAACACACCAATATGGTTCTATCGAAAACAAGGTCGTCGCTTAGTGCCATTACGAAAATAGCCAACAACTTAAATACATCTTGTTTAATATCTCTATACCACTCTCTGATAGAAAGCCATATTCGTCATTGTGCCTCAGAAAAAATATGAGAAATTGATAACTGCTAAGAAACAAAATTATTACAAGTCATTACTAGGTAGACATCGTAATGATCTTAAGAAAACTTGGCGTACTATGAACGATCTGCTTGGGCGTTCTAAACCAAATCTAACAAAAGTATTTTCTATTAACGGCCAGGAAACCTCGGATTCTGTCGAAATAGCAGATCATTTTAACTAGCACTTTTCTACAATTGGAAATAAAATGGTCGAACGGTTTACTCATACTAGAAGGGATGACTTTAAGCAATATATGGGGCATCCCAGTAAAACCTCTATGTTTCTTGCCCCGACAACAGCTTTCGAAGTCCAAAATATTCTGAAATCTTTTCGACCCAAAACCAGTTGTGGAATAGATGGAATTCCCTTTAAAGTTATACGAATGATGCCCTGGAATTGTATTTGTGCTCTCGCACATATCTTTAACTGCTCATTACAATCTGGTAAATACATAGACCAGTTCTAATTATCCAAAGTTATGCCATTGTTCAAAAAAGGAAATGCAAAAGATGTAAAAAACTACCGACCGATCAGCTTACTTCACGCATTTTCAAAAATTCTAGAAAAAATTATGTACAAACGACTCAACCATTTCCTAGACCAAAAAAATTTCTTTTATTCACAACAATTTGGCTTTCGTCAAAATCATTCAACATCTCATGCAACATCCCTGCTTGTCAGTAAAATTCTAGAAGGATTTGATAAGAATGAGTATACTCTCAGTATGTTCTTGGACCTTTCCAAGGCATTTGATAGTATTGACCATGACATATTACTAGCCAAATTGCACCATATTGGCGTTAGAGGTCAGAGTTATAATTGGTTTAAAAGCTACTTATCAGGAAGGAAACAAGTAGTTATATACAATGATGTAACATCTAGCACATACTGTAATTTGACTGTAGGTACTTTACAAGGTTCTATTTTGGCTCCATTATGTTTTTCAATCATTATTAACGACTTTCCGAATTCTCTTCTTCACTCTGATATCATACTTTTTGCTGATGACTCAACGCCATATCTTCGAGGCAAAAACTTGCCTGAACTTTTGACCAAAGCAAATACCGACTTAGAAAATAGCAAGCTTGGTTGTCTGCGAACAAACTCACTATTAATGTCGATAAAACTAAATATATGATATTTAGCACGCCGAAGCAAAAGTGTCCAACTCTGCAACCAAATTTGGAATTAAATGGAATAAATATAGAAAGAGTTAATCAGACTCGCTTTCTGGGTGTAATGATCGATGATAAATTGTCTTGGAAACAACACACCAATATGGTTCTATCGAAAACAAGGTCGTCGCTTAGTGCCATTACGAAAATAGCCAACAACTTAAATACATCTTGTTTAATATCTCTATACCACTCTCTGATAGAAAGCCATATTCGTCATTGTGCCTCAGCTTATGTTCATCGCCAATCGTCCATTCTCAAAAAAATTCAAAGTGTTTGCAATCGAATTATTAGAAGAGTTTTTCATAGAGGTAATCGCGAAAAAATTGATGACCTATTTAAAGAGCATAGGCTACTTCGAGTTGTGGATTTAGCTAAATTCGAACTATGTAATATGATGTTCTCTTGTCACATTTGAGAGCTTCCGTCCAGCCTGAACAACCTGTTCCAAGCAAACCCAAATTCAAACAGCAGAAATAAAGATAATGTTTTTATTCCATTTGTCAGTAAAAGTATTTCACAAGAATCAATCGCAGTATGTGGACTAAAAGCTTGGAATTCCCTACCCGATGACATCAAAAATTCAAAATCGAACTCAGAATTTTGTTCCAAACTTAAACAATATATATTATCATCATATTAGCAATTTTCTCTGCTTTGAACATGTTACTGTTTGGAGATTATTTTTTTAAGGTCAATTCAACACTTAAAGGGAGAGCTTAGAACAATGGACTGAATTAATAACTAGCACACCCTTCTAATTTCATTATCATGCGTAATTAGACAACAACAAAAGCACAGCAATTTAGGTTATAGATAGTACAATTCAATATAACTTCAATGCTCAAATAGTAGGGAGTAGGGACAATGGTTTTTGTTTGAGTAGCATGCTGTTCAATTTATTTCCATTGTTGCTACCTATCACCGAATCACACTTTTTCTTCTGCTCATCCCAGGATACCATATAATTTTATTATTTTAATTTACATTGGAAAATCCATGACATGGTAAAATGGCTTCTCTTTATAACTTATCATTCCCTATCCCACTGTACCTTTATACCTTTCCAATCTTCTGGCTGAAATGCAACCATAATAGGTTTTGTGGAAATGCTTTTTATTAATTTTTTTTATTTTTATTTTTGAAACTTCATTGTTTTTGGCTGAATCCAGAATTCCAAAAAAAAAAACCTTATAATAGTGAGTCATTTGATACATACCTTTATCATATTTCACCAAAACCTGTAGGGTCACATTTTGGCCAGAACAGCCATAGACCACTTATAACACTGTCGCCCTTGAGTGGTGCATACCATATATGTACACACCCTTTAAACTTGACCATTCCCGCGTTTTATAGTATGTGGTATCATCACTCAATGGTTTTATTAAAAAAAATTTTTTTTATACTATATTCATATGCAGTGTGTTTCATGTTGTGTCTCTATTTATAGATGTTGTTTTGTCTAACAAACTCCTTTGTACAAACAGTTTTGTACACTCCACCCATATCCCTGTTATCGCATCCACCCACCCTCCTTGCACAACTGCCTGTATAAAGGACCATATTGTACATATTTGATTTACCCTATTATAATTTATATAAATCAAAGGGGTGTATGCCGCACATCTGTGTTTTAGGCCAATATGGTCTTATGCATACATCCCGTCTTCAGTATTTATAATTACTTACTCTTTTATATTGCTTTTACGAGACGAATAAACATACATACATACATACATACATACAATTATCTTTCTGTACATGTCCTTGCATGGTCTGAAATAATCTTTTTATTTAATTTCGTCCTTTTTGTAATTAAGTTCAATGTTCAAACTAGCTTTATATTTTAAACTTGGTAAGTTCGTTCTTCAATGATTGATTGTCTATATGACTTTCATTTTCCCGCCCTTACCGCCCCTCGCGCCATCGAGTGTTACGAAAATGACGCGCGCAGTGTAAACACCTGTGACGTGCGACCATAGGCGTGCCGCATCCAGTGTAAACGCTTAGCACGATGCGCCACAACGACGAGCCGTTATTATTCGTCTTAGTAAGTGGAACTGGACCTCCCTTGACTGGCATCAAGTGTCGCAAGCACAGAGTTCAGTGGTCGCAAGCGCCTGAAGTACCTCTGGAGAGTCTGCAATTTATCAGTTCTACATTTTGCGAACGAAAGTAATCTTATATAAACGTCACAATGCACATTCGCAGCTGTGCTTGTCTGTTATTTTATTCGCGTGATTGTCGTCAGCTTCATTGTTTAGCAGAGAGCAAATAGAAGATGAGAACTATGGTGTGACTCAGCAACCAACCACCTTCGGGGCGCGAATTTGTGTAGCAGAAAGATTCCTACTGTCGGGGTCATGATAAGGGATTCTGCGAGGTGTCGGCGACATTTGACGATGCGGCATTTTTTTAATAAGAACCAGGACTTTTTTCCGACATACCAATGTGCACACAGTGGACATGTATCCAGACGAGAAGCTGTGGTACGCTATATGATTAAGCCGCCTTGACGGCTTTTCTCCCTTGCGACAAGTGTAAACATCTCATCCTTTCGTTAATGGGTTATTAGTAGCTTAATTATTTGTGACAAGAGCACGGGATAATCATGCTAGCAATGACATAGATGAATAATTTAGTATAGCCATCCCCACTGGTGTTATAGGCAAAACAGCACCCAACTCGCTATTTAGACTTTGCTAAATCTATACTTTATGATCATAAAGTTAGCACATCTTGTAATAAAATCAGGTATGGCTTAACAAACATCAATACTGTAATATTTGAATGACTGCGTCCCAATAACTAACGAAACTGGGAGTGTAGATATAGCGGGTCATCTACCGCGAAGAATCCGTATTTTCAATATGGATTTATAGCCGTAAGTCACAGCAATGAAATTTGTCCAGTTTGCCATACTGAGCTCTCAAATGAAGCCTTGGAGACTTCCTCGAACTATGAGATTGTCTTATATAGAGCAGTTGATTGAAATTTCAAATGAGACCGTTACGTGTATCACTGTCGACCATGTCTCCAAATTCGGAACAGTTAATGAATGACCAGCAAACAAACGCAAATCTCGCATTGAATATCATCACCTATGTTTTTGAAAATTTTCTACTGCGTGTAATTTATTACATAAGCTTAGTTCGTCTATGTAAAGAGGGTCCGCCAGGCTTTACCGGTTCGTCACTTGAAAACGGTTACTTATCTTCAGTATTTCTACAGCCTGACATCTACATGCCCCACATAAGCATAGAAACCCTGCTTCAATTTCATCTTTAGTTTTCTGAGCCAACAACTTCTTTGCATATTTTTATGTTCATCCATTCTTGGTTTTTGTAGTTTATACATGGAAGGTTCTTGTCCCTCAACACGGACGTCCTCCTTAAATTGTCAACTTTTTGAGTTGACAAGTACTTTGACTTCGTTTACCACCAATAATGAAAATAGGTCTGTTTCACAGGAGAAATTCTTAAAGGAAAATTGTTAATTCATATAATTCGAATTTGGTTATGCAGAGTAACCGAGATGAACATTGATTTAATGAGTTTTCTCCAATATGAATGAATCAAAGTGGCAACAGCCGTTTTTTGTTAGAAGCAGTGGGGCTTCAATGAAAGTCGGAGACAAAAAGTCTATTACTACTCACTAATTACACATGACAACAGGTATTAGTTGTGAGTGGTACAATAGGTCGCATCAAAGTGATTCAAATATGTCAAAACATACTTTTTCTTTTTAATTTCAAGTTATTTTTATTTTGTCGTAAACTGAATTATTGCATCATAAGTGGTTTTCCGGTAGTTTTAATAGCCACTGACATCAGAGTAGATGTTGCGGCTCCGTGTACATTTGAGTTTGACAAAAAGGATTCGACCATATCATTCATACCTGATTTCTGCAGCTCTGAATATAAATCTCTTCGATGCTTGAAACCACGATGAAACGAGTTGCCATGGCAATAAATGATGATTTTTTCAGCGTCTTGTAATGACCCTGATTTGACCTCTGGAGTATCGAACTGAGTGACTGGCGGAATATGCCAAACGCCTAAAGTACCTCCACTCGAAGACTTCACATAGCAGTTCTTGCTCTCTTCAAGATTGTAGGCCTGACGTAAGAGAAGAAAATTTAAAGTTAAAAATTGATCACTATAATAAGGGTATCTGGTTGAAGCAAGGTTTAGTGCATTTACTCATAAGTGAAGGGACATATTACTGATCGGAGTTATTAAGGTCACTTACTCAGAAGTAAAAGAGACTAATATCTGAACAAAGTTACGGACCCTCACTTAGAAGCAAAGGAGACTTATGTCTGAGAAAAGTTACACGCACTCACTCAGAAGAAAAAGATACTCATCTCTGAGCAATGTTACAGGTACTCATAAGTACAGAAGACCTCTGAGCAATGTTACAGGCACTCATAAGTAAAAGAGATTCATCTCTGAGCTGAGTTACAGATATAGTCACTCAGAAATAAAGAAGACTTATCTCTTAGCGAAGTTACGGGTACTCACTCAGAAGTAAAGGAGACTTATCTCTGAGCAAAGTTACGGGTACTCACTCAAAAGTGAAGGAGACTCATCTCTGAGCAAAATTACTCGCACACACTCAGATAAGGAGACTCATCTCTGAGCAAAGTTATCGGCACTCATTCAGAAGCACTCACTCATACAAACGTCTTGTAGAAAGTCTTACTTTGTCTGGTTTGTTCAGCTTCAGTAATCATACAGGTGGGCAGACTCTGTTGAGAAATAATCCTTCGAAGACGATTTTTGGATAAATCTTGAAAATCAGCGAAATTGTGACGTATACCAAGAATCCATGGATCACAAAATAACATGAGGAACTGAATATTTCACTCATGCATCCGTAAAAAATTGTCGCCATTTTTAAATGAGGAGAG